AATAAATTTTATATAACCTTATAATTTATACAAATTTTTTGCATAAACTTCAAATATCTAATATATATATATCTTGGGATACCGTTTTAATTAATATTAATATCTTATTTTGTGCACTGTTCATACAACTCATTATGGTGGCAGTGGTAAATAGTAATAGATATGCTTTAGTATTATTCACTATTAAATACGTTTGAGTCATCATCTTGATTTCTTTCAGTATTGTCATACTTCGTTATAAATTATAAAGCAATTAATAAATAAATATCAAAAAAAAAAAATTACCAGAAAACATTGTAACTTTCGCGCTAAGTATTTCTTGTCAAACTTGATTTTAATGATTTTAAGATTAAAAAGATTATGCAAGATGGCCCGTATAACAGCATATTGGTTATTGATAATTTGCCTACCAAACATCTTTTTAGCAACCATTTGAAGGTAGGTTTTTTCTTTCTCTTTCATCATTGTATCCAGGTTTTTCAAGCACCAATGTATATCATTGCTTGATTTTCAAAACAATATATTAGCTTCAGAGCTCTCAGAATTGACAGTTGATGAAAACTTGTTCTTAAAAACATGTTCAAACACAGCACATCGGAAAGATTCAAATAAGGCCCCACGATATCTGCAAGATTTGGTACTGATCTATGTATATTTAAAGTTTTAGATTATAAAATAATAACAGTTTAAGCTAATATCACATCGGTTTTAATACTGCTAAAATAATATGCTAATTATTACATAGTTTGAGTTGTTCTAAATAGTTATATATAAATTTTCTGGTGATCATTTCCCTGACAGGACATCTAACCAATATCATAAAGTGTGAAAACTCACTGATAAAATATAACTGCAACTAATAAAATGTTAAATTATTATGCTATGTGATGTAGGTTAGATGGCCTGTCAAGAAAATAACCATCAGAAAGTTGAGTAATATTAGTTCTAAATAGCTTGTTGCAATTATACTTACTATATTTTTAATTTTATTAAACAGAGCCTCCCATTTAGTACTTTTTCTGTATCATTCTATTTTGTCTAGGCAGAGGATTTCAAGTTCTTTTCGAATAGCTTCTTCATAAACCTTATTATTAGGATAAAGCCAATTGTCTACAGCCACCTTAATATCCTGCATTGTCCCTTTCTAAATTTTAAGTAAAATAGTATAATTGTTTGATAATATAATAAAGCTGATATTATAGGATAGATTTTCCACTCATATAATAATAATAATAATAATAATAATAAATTTCAGGCTTAAAATAGTTTACTAATATTTTAAAATAACTATTAAATCAAAGTACCTAAAATTTCATACTGACCTTAATTTTTCATTTGCTAATAGATAGCAAGAATGGAAAATTGATCCTATACACAGTATTATACTAAAAACACAATAATATACCTGCCACCATTCGCAATCATTTTCCTTAATTTTTAACTTTTGATACAAAGATTGTAATGTCTTAATATCATTGATTAGTTGAGTAACCATGATCTCTAAGGCTTCTTGTCTTTCCATGATTGATGCGTTTTGAGTTAATAATCGTTTGGATATTTTTAATATTGAATTTATTGTTTCAGTTTTTTTACTTTGTACTAATTTGATTCAATAGTTAATATTTTAATTTAAAATATAATGAATTTATTTATATTTTTAAAACTGACTGTGTTCTATATTGGTATATAAATTTTCTAAAATATTTGTTGATATTTCACTAAATGAAGAGCGAGGTGAGCTTTCAGTGATTACACAAAGAGAATCTTGAATATTATTATCAATGCCATCAACATCAGCATTTTTAATATTATTGTTCACGTGCTTCAAAGGTTGGGTAATAGGTTCATTTATATAGGATAACTTTCTTCTGATTGGTCAATCGCTTTCAATTGTATTTATACAGTTTAAAGTACTTTTTAAGAAT